CAACTGTGGAAGTCGAAACTAACACAATCAAGATTTGTCTAGGGTTTTATTTTAGGGATACGATAATCGTGAATTCTCAAAGAACAACAGAAACGATTGATACCAAAGATGGTGTTCTTGATATTATTAATGAAAAGATGATTTTGATCGTACAAGAGTTTGATCGTAGAAGAAAAGGTGTTTGTGCTGTGAGAGCTTTGCGTAGTGTAAATTCTAGAGCGATATTGCTTGCGCCTTTCGTTTGAGCCTTGAATCTCTTTATATAGGGATGATAAACCGCCTCTCCAGCGATATTCTCGGAAGATTTCCATTTATCTTGAAGTCGGCCAGAATATCGCGGATTAGGACAATTTCCTTATTCTTCGGAGTTTTCGGAAGATTTCCTGATTTGAGTTGATCCTTCGCGATTCTTCCTTATCATTTCCGAGTTTATCGGAAATGATCCTTCTTTTTCGGAAATGATAACTTGCTTGGAAATGATACCTTTGGAGAAGAATATTTACTAAGTCTTTGCTTCGGGCGATGATGAAGACTTCGCCTCGGGGAACTTGTGCAACCGGCTCGGGGACAAGAGAGGCACGGCCCAGGTTCCCGAGGGAAACCGGCTCGGGTTCACAGAAAGAGCCAGCTCGGGGGTCTCGACACGAACCGGCTCGGTTTCTCGGAGTGAACCGGCTCGGGCACTTGAAGGGAGCCGGCTCGGGTTCACAAGCTTGCTGACGGACCCCGAGCAGACTACGGGTGTTCCCCGAGGCAACCAATGCAGTGATCCGAGGTGAATGGCAGTCTGACCCGAGGTGAATGGCAGTCTGACCCGAGGTGAATGGCAGTTTGACCCGAGGTGAATGGCAGTTTGCACCGAGGTGTCTTCAGAAGTTCCCTGAGGCGTTCGAAGTTCGGCTCGGTGCTATGGGATGAAATCCGACCCCAACACCAGCCTAAGTTACGGCTGAGTTTTCACCCGATGGTTGATTTGTCAAATTTTTGGCTGAGTTATTGCTTCGACACGGCTGACTTAACTTTCTCCGGCTGGCTGAGTTATCAAAGACGGCTTAGTTATGGGATGATGTTACGGCTGATTTATGTTCGAGTATCATAAATCAGCCGTAATGAGCTGGATTAACGGAAAACTCGGCCTTATTATGGCTGACTTAGTAGCGAAAGATTAATTACTAGAATAGCATGCAATGACGGCCGACTTATTAAACGACACGACTGAGTTAAATATTTTTGGTTGAGTAACGACAGTAAACGGCTGAATTTGGCTGCCGTTTTTTCGTTTTTTAATTACTGTAATAGTATTCATGTTGCGGCTGAGTTAAAGTTTTGTTTGATGGCTGGTTTAATTAAGCTGATTTACATTTTCGTTTGGTGGCTTACTTGCCACTTCATCAATTAAAAAATGACGTGGATGCAACATTCCATGTCATCATTCCATGTCATCATCATCAAAGGACAAAAAAATAGGGCCAAATTTTTTCAACTCGTTTTCTTCACCTGAGTTTATCACATCACCGGAACTTCCAATTCCTCATCGTCTTCCTCATTCTTCTTCAATTTCTTTCATCTTTCTCCCGATATGGTTGATCCGGTTCCGGTAATTGGGTATAAAAACACAAATACGTATTTAACACCGATGAAAGAGGATGTAGAGTTGTGCAGATAGATGCGAAAACAACGCACGAAAAACTTGTGAAGTTGGTGCTCGATGATAAAGTTAGAGGAAATGTTGCGTCTCTTATTATTTCGCTGCAAATTTACATGTCACGGCTGAGTTATATGCTAAACATAGACGGTAGGATTCGCAACAAAAAGAGACAGGACTCAAGAAATTCTATTATGTATATATAAGGTGTTGAAAGCATGTTTGGTTCTTGTTAAAGGAGTATTTAGTTTTCAAATTTTTTTATTTATTTATATTGTTTCATCCAACCAAGATTCTAGAGAAAAAGCTAGTTTTTCGAAAATTTATGAAATTCTTCTGTTTGAATTACCCTTTAAGATTTTGGTTTCTACTTTTTAGTACTCCTAAAACCTAGGGAAACTATTTTATTTTAAAATTTTAATCCTTCCTCAAAACTTTAATCTTTCACTAATTCTCTGCAAAAATTAAAACCTATCTTATTTGGTTCATCAAAAACTAAAACCAAGATCTAATATCTAAAAACCTCCCAAACTAAAATGACTCTATAAACATTATTTTAACTCCATTCATGGTCTAAGATTTATCGACTCAACACACACACACACAAATACGAATATACATGATGGCACTGACATTCATAATGCAAAACTAGGAAAAAGAAGGGAAATATGAACGCTAAAAATAAATTTAAAACTATTGTTGAATAATGAATACTATGGTTTTAGACTTGTAGGTACTATTTTAAATTTTCCAGCCAAATTTTTAATGTTATCTTTCAGTCCTAAATAGTAAATGCAGATGCCTGAGAACACTGAGAGTTAATAAAAATGCAAGAGACCTTATGCGTGTAAGCACTTACGTTGGAGATGTTTGGCCTGGGCGTCTTCCACTTGAGATGAGACAAATATGAGCAGAATAAACAAAGATATAAGAAGAGAAATAAATTTGATGTCTTTGTAACCTTGTAACTGAACAAGTTGAAAAACACCTAGCTTCCCTTTTTTGGGCTTAAGACCCTCTTTCTCTCTTAGAGTCTTTGATCTAAGTGGAATAGAGCTTTAGTTGTGGTTCATTGTTTCCCCTTAACCGTGTTTTAATCTAAAGTCAGTTCAATCTTCTTTAGCCTCGCTGTTTGTTTCTCATTTGCGCCGCTATCAAGTTCTTGAGCTGTTTGAAGAAAGTCAAGTTCTCTGAGTTTTCGAGTATGTCTGCAAGTATCGATCGGGCTCTAATGGCTATGTCACTAGAGGAAGATGACGAACCGTTCACTATGCCAGATCTACCGGAATATTGTTCGAGCGAAAAGAATGTTCTTAGTATAATGGGTCGAGTTTTGAATCCAGATGGTCAAAAGATGTCCAATCTCATCCAAAACTTGCCGCGGAAGTGGCAAATCTATGACAGGGTAAGAGGAGTTGCGCTCTCTCAGGAAAAATTTCAGTTTATTTTCGATTATGAGCATGATATGGAGATGATTTTGAAGAAAGGAGTTCATACCTTCAATGAATGGACGCTGGTGATTGATCGGTGGGTTGAAGATCCTCCAGCTGACTATCTCCAGTTCATTCCGGTGTGGATTCAAATCAGGAACATCCCTGTTAACCATTACACCGTTCCAACGATTACGATGCTGGGTGAGTTTGTGGGTCAGGTTATGGAAGTCGCTTTTGATCCAGCAAAATCTCAGGTGACAGAATTTGTAAGAGTTCGAGTTAGATTTGATGTTTCGAAACCAGTTCGAAGGTCAAAGAAAATCAATTTCAAAGAAGGACAGGTCAACATTCTCTATGATTTTGAAAGAATCCAGAAACGTTGCTTCTATTGTCAACGTCTAACTCATGAACAAGAGGTTTGTCCTCTCCGAGCAAAAGATATTCAAGAAAAGAAGTTAGTCACCAAATTAAAAGGAAAGGAGTCTGGATTTACTAAAGAGAAGATTATCAAAGAATCTGATCCTCTTTTTGGGGTTATTGAAGACAGTCAAGTGGGTGTGGATCCTTCAACAGGTAGAGAGCGTATTGCCAAGGAAGTGGTTGATGGAATGAGACAATACCTGCTGGTTGCCAAAGGAGAGGAGCGCTTAATCAGAGAAGAGAGAATCAAGAAATCCCTCCGCGATCTTTCAAATGATCCCTTAGGTCAGAAAACTATTCTCAGACTTGAGCCATATCCTTTGGTGTCTTCTGATATCAACAAGGAAAAAGGGGTGGTGTTTGGTTATCAAATGGAGAAAGATTCTGGTCAGCTTTCTGTTGGTGATGCTAGGCCTGCTGAGTTGGAGTCAATTGCTGGTTGTTCTTCTTCCTCCAGGTTGACTGAAAGAGAGATCTTAAATTCTGGTTTGGTTTCTTCATTCTCTAATGAGAGTCCGACGGTGTTTAAGGCTGGTCTCTCTGGGATTGGTCTTTCTCCCGGGTCACTCTTAAAGAATGGAAAAACCAGGAAGCGTCCCTATAAAAGCAGAAGAAAAAGAGGAAGTTCTGCAATTGCTACCATTCAACCATAGATAACGATTGGCACCATCCAACAAGTTCCTTTTTTGGTTGGTGTTGAAGGAGGAGGAAAAAGGAAAGCTACTGATGAGGCTCAAGTTCCATCCAAAGTTGCAAAGTGCATCAATCAATTGGTGGTCCCAAATGAGGGACCGTCCAATTCCTAATGAGTCTTATTAGTTGGAATTGCCAGGGCTTGGGCCGTGCACAAGACCTGACGATTCCCAGGCTCAAGGAGATGCGAAAAGAACATTTCCATGAGATCCTTTTTCTGATGGAAACTAAAAATTGTAGAGATGTGTTGGTGGACTTACAGGAGTGGCTTGGTTATGACAGGGTGTATACGGTTAATCCCGTGGGTTTAAGTGGTGGTCTTGCTCTCTTCTGGAAGAAAAGTGTTTCTGTTGATTTGAAGTTTGTAGATAAAAATCTTCTTGATTTTCATGTTCAGTTTGGTGAGGTTGAATTTTATGTCTCCTGTGTTTATGGAGACCCTTTGTACAGCTCAAGACCTTTGCTCTGGGAGAGACTATCAAGAATTGGCATTGGAAGAAAAGAAAGTTGGTGTATGGTGGGTGATTTCAATGCCATTCTTCATAATGGAGAGAAACTTGGAGGTCCTCGTAGAGGTGATGCTTCATTTCTTCCCTTTAAGGACATGTTATCAGCTTGTGATATGAATGAACTACCAAGTTCGGGTAATGGTTTCACTTGGGGAGGCAAGAGAGGACAGTTATGGATACAAAGCAAGCTTGACAGAAGTTTTGGAAACAAAAAGTGGTTTGATCAATTTCCTATCTCAAATCAAACCTTTATGGAAAAAAGAGGATCTGATCACAGACCGGTGTTGGTTAGACTAACCACAACAAAGGATGCTTATCGAGGGAGTTTCAGATTTGACAGAAGATTTTTAAACAAGCCGCTGGTCAAAGAAGCAATTCAGCAGGCTTGGAATTCTCCTAATGGCAGGGTTGTTCTGAAAGTGTCTGATAAGTTGAGGAAGTGTAGAAAAAGTCTGAGCAAATGGAAAAGAGATAACAATCTCAATTCTCTAACCAGAATCACTCAAGCTCAGGTGCATTTGGAGATTGAACAGTCTTCCTCCTTTCCAAGATTTCAAGTGGTTACTGAACTAAGATTGGAGTTATGTGATGCCTACAGAGAAGAAGAAACTTACTGGAGAATGCGAAGCAGAGATCAATGGGTAGATGAAGGAGATAAGAATTCTAAGTTTTTCCATGCCTCTGTGAAAGCTAGGCGAGGAAAACAAAGACTTGACTCTCTGCTGGATATTAATGGGAATGTACAAAAAGCTGAATCTTCAAAGGGTGCAGTCGCTGAAGCTTACTTCAAAGATTTGTTTACTTCCTCTAATCCTAGTAACTTCCATGAAATCTTTCATGACTTTCTGCCAAGAGTTTCTTCCTCTATGAATGATACTCTTATCACTCATGTCTCCTCAGCTGAAATAAAAGATGCAGTTTTTGCTATTCGTCCTTCAAGTGCCCATGGGGCTGACGGGTTCACTGGTTTATTTTTTCAGAAATACTGGGCTGTGATTGGAGAACAGGTTATCAGTGAGGTCAAGGAGTTTTTCATCTCTGGTACATTCCCAGTGGAATGGAATTATACTCAGTTATGTCTGCTACCTAAGAAGAACAACCCTGAGAAGATGACAGATCTGAGACCGATTAGCCTTTGTTCAGTTATGTATAAGGTCATCTCTAAAGTTATGGTTAGAAGGCTGCAACCTCTTCTTGGTGAGATTGTGTCTCCTAATCAGTCTGCTTTTGTTGAGGAAAGACTGATTTCTGACAATATTTTGATAGCACATGAACTGGTTCACGGGCTCCGCACTCATCCATCCATTTCTTCTCAATTCTTAGCGGTAAAGTCTGATATGTCTAAGGCATTTGATAGGGTTGAATGGTCATATCTGCATGCTTTACTGTCTGCTCTTGGTTTCCACCCGAAATGGATTCAATGGACAATGTTTTGTGTTACTTCTGTTACTTTCTCTGTTCTCATTAATGATCAAGCTTATGGAATGATTCTGCCTACTAGAGGTTTGAGGCAGGGTGATCCTATATCACCATTCCTTTTTGTTCTATGAACAGAGGGCTTACTCATCTTCTCAACAGGGCTGAAAGGAATAGTCTGATTAATGGGATACGGTTCTCTGAGAGTAGTCCTGCGATTCATCATCTCCTCTTCGCAGACGACAGTCTTTTCCTCTGTAAAGCTGAGGAGGATCAGATTTCTTCTCTGATGAAGATTCTCAAAGACTATGGTGATGCAACTGGTCAAAGGGTTAATCCAGAGAAATCTTCCATTACCTTTGGTTCAAGGGTGAATGAAGATTGTAAGAACAGCATAAAGGCTCAATTTGGAATTATGAATGAAGGAGGCGCAGGTACTTATCTCGGGCTGCCAGAATGTTTCAGTGGCTCCAAAATTCAGTTGCTAGACTATATAAAAGATAAGCTAAAGGCAAGGTTATCCGGCTGGTTTGCAAGATCCTTATCTTTGGGCGGGAAAGAGATTCTTCTTAAGGCTGTGGCATTGGCAATGCCTGTCTATGCCATGTCCTGCTTTAAGCTCACTAAAACCACCTGTGATAACCTTACAAGTGCCATGGCTGATTTCTGGTGGAATGCTCTAGAACACAAAAGGAAGATTCACTGGGTCAGTTGGGAGAGAATGTGCTTATCAAAAGCAGAGGGTGGTCTTGGCTTCAAAGACATTCAAGCCTTCAATCAGGCCTTACTTGCCAAACAAGCCTGGAGAATCATTCAGCAGCCTAACAGCTTGTTTGCACGTTTCATGAAAAGCAGATATTTTGAATGGGATGATTTTTATCTGCAAATCTGGGATCAAGACCTTCTTATGGGTGGCGCAGTATTTTACATGGAAGAGATCTATTGGTCATAGGTCTGAGGAAAATGGTGGGAAATGGAATATCTCTCAATGTGTGGATCGACTCCTGGATTTATGACAATGGGTTGAGAGCTCCCCTGATCAAGAATCCAATTATTAATATTGATATGATGGTGAAGGATCTAATTGATTTTCAAGCTAGAGATTGGGACAGAGAGGTTTTGGAGGAACAGTTCTACCCAAATGATGTGCAGCTCATTTTGCTTAGGAAACCAGTGGTGACCAAAGATGATTTTTATTGCTGGGAACACACAAAGAGTGGAGAATATACTGTTAAATCTGGCTATTGGCTGGCCTGTAGAACAAATAAACCGGAGCTGTTTCAAGTGGCAAACCAGCAGCCTTCTCTAAACTCTTTGAAAGAGCAGGTGTGGACTATTCAAACGGTTCCAAAGATCAGAATGTTCATGTGGAGAGCTCTCAGTGCTGCACTTCCGGTTTCTGTTCTCATTGCGCATAGAGGGATGAAAATTGATATCTGTTGTCAATGCTGTGGCACCGAGGATGAGACGATTAACCACACTCTGTTCACTTGTCCAGTAGCTCGTCAGGTATGGGCTCTTTCAGACTTTCCCTTACCTGATGGTGGTTTCAGCGCTTCTTCTCTATTTCAAAACTTTCAGACTTTATTTGAGATGAAAAAAAACATTAAGATCCCAATAAGGTCTAGAAGAAGTTTTCCTTGGATTCTTTGGCGTCTTTGGAAGAATAGGAACAAACTTGCTATTGAAGGTGTTAGATTTTGCCCTCAGGATTCTGTTAGGAAAATAGGTGAAGATATGGATGAATGGTTCTCTTCACAACTTATTCCTTCTTCTGTTGTGGTTGATGCGGGTGTCTCTGCAGATGCGGTTACACGGATTTGGGATCCTCCTGCCCAGAATTGGCTTAAATGCAACATTGGTTTGAGTTGGTCTCATAAGGAAAAATTTGGTGGAGCTGCTTGGGTTGTTCGAGACTCCACCGGGAAAGTTATAGTTCATAGCAGAATGGGAATTTTTGGGGTGAATAACAAGATTGAAGCTCATTTGTGCTCTATTACTTGGGCCATTGAGTCTATGCATTCTCTGCATTTCAACAAGGTTATCTTTGCTTCTGAAGCTCAAGACATCATTGGAGCTTTCAGAAGACCGATTGCTTGGCCATCTTTCTCTCATCAAGTGGCGGAAGTTAACTATTTTTTGGATAAGATTGAGGACTGCAAATTGGATCTTGAATCTGCAGCAACAAATAGAGGAGCAGCTCTCATAGCACAATCCGTTACTTCTGATCATAGATTCCATTCTTATGTGGCTTCGGGACACCCTTTTTGGCTTCATGGTGTTTTTTGTGATGAGAGAGTCTCCTCTTAAATGTTTTTGCCTTCTTGGCTGTGGCCTCTGTTCTCTTCTTTAGCTAAATTCTTTTGGTACTCTAGGTTTAGTCTTTCTAGCACCTAGTCTATTTCATCTTGAAGGTTTCAAGATTGATTTGTAACAACTTTTTAACATCAATATATATTCCACCAGATGACAAAAAAAAAAGAAATTTGATGTCTTTGTAGCCATTAGTTAAGCTAAGTTTAGCACTCTCTCAAAACTCCATTACAAGACCTATATACATAGATAAGAAAATGAAGCATCGTTTGATTGTAAATGTAGTATTGGGAGGCCGGGCCTACCGTCCAAAGCCTGGACATTTCCATTTAACGCGCTTTGACTTTATGAATCTGCAAAAACATTTTGCCAAAAATTCTTTCCCAAACTAAAATGACTTTATGTAATTTACACGCGTGCATAATGATAGACACGTTATCATCATTCATTCTCGTTTAGGACAAGGGTTTCTGTGCTACCTTTTTTTTTAACGTGAATCATTGAAAAACGTTTACATGATCTTTGAAATGCAAATCATCTATACAAACGGGAGGATATTGTTAGTACTCTCTATGGGTACATCAATTTATGTGCTTGTTAACTAGGGATGTCAAATGGACCTGGTAACCATGGGGTAGACTAATCCAAATTATAATAGTATTGTTTTTTGGTTACGTCCAAAACCAAAATGGTCAATATGGGCTATAAACCAATTGGGCCCGCCAGTATATGGAACAAACTCATCTGAACATGGACTGTTCAATAATCCTTAAGAATTAAGGTTATGAATTTGGGGGGAAAAATTAGATTTAAAGCTAAAAGTTTTCATTTCTCATTTCTCATTTTTCTCTCGATTTGAGACGATCTGAGACACAAATCTCATCCTCTCGACTCTTGAGCGTCGATGGATCTTGGTGGTGGCTGGTGGGTTCCTTCTCGAGTCTTTTATCCTTCGGATAACACAGATTTTGATTCTTCTCGAGGTTAGTTTTTCAAAAACATTAATGGGTTTGTGTTGATTGGTTTCACGATTTGTGTTTATGGGTTTGCGCTGATTGGGGTCTTTAGAGCTTCTCAAATATCAAGCTTCTTCAATATTTTGGATTCATATATAAATCTGTGAATTTTCTGTACTAATTTTGAATCTGTGAACTTTTGCATTTGTTGTTATTATCACTTAGGTTTAGTGTTTTTGCATGAATTGATGATGTTTACTTCCTTAATAGTTTGATTATAGTATTGTGAAGTTTTTACTTGGAACCCGAGGGTTAAAGCCACTTATGTCAAGTGTCATTAGTAGGTAAACTTAAAAGTATGAGATTGTTTGTTCCTAGTTACATAATTTTCTTGTTCTTCATGTGTTTTTTTTAAGCCTTTAGATCCTCAGACCATATGCTTCGTCCAATTTATATTTCATGCAGGTTTGGAAAATTGAAAGTTGGCTAAGAGCTCATAAGACATCTGATGATGTGACTATCTATGACATGGTGTATGTTATGATAGTAAAATTCGACAAGTATTAGGAAGACTTATTTTGATATTCTTACTATAGCTGCAGTCTTGGATCCCAGATTGAAGTTTGCATTCTTAGGATACTGCTATGACACTTTAGATCAATCAAATAGTAAGTCTAAGTTGGATCACATCCGTAAGAAGATGCAGAAGAGTTTGGGAAGTAGGGTTCTTAAAGTACTCGAAAGACAATGCTACACTTTTTAAGGAGTTGTCCCGTATGGCATGTGATGTGCTATGTATTCCCACAATAATAGTGTCTTTTGAGTCATCATTTAGTGTGGGAAGTAGGGTTCTTAACAAGTACATGAGCTGTCTTCTTCCATCAAATGTTCAAGCTCTGATTTGTGCAAGAAATTGGCTACGTACGTGGCTTTGAAGAGATAAATAAGTTTACTAATTCTTATAACTTAGTTTTGTTTAAGACATCTCAATATTTGTTGGTAATTTGTGAATGTTTTCATTGTGATAGGTGAATCCGAGTTTTTGGAGGGAGATAAAGAATAAGCAGGAGAAGAAGAGGAGGAAGGAGAAGGTGGAAGAAAGAAGATCCGAGTTACTTAGAAGGTGAAGGTTTGCTTTAAACCATTGTGATTCTGTCTTTATTTGAGATTCTGGGAAGAAATGTGTATCATTGCATTATGATTCTGTGAATGTGTATTGGTGTCTTTGTTTATATTTGAGATTCTGGAAAATGATACTCATTGAGATTCTAAATGTGTATTGGTTATGTTTTCGTTTTGTTAGGTATTTGAAGAATTATTCAATGAATTATTCAATTAGACTAAAAGATTCATGAAGTTATGAAGTATTGACTTATAATACTTGTTTAGTATGATTTTGGATTGTGTGAAACACTTAAGAGTTGTTTAGTATGTAAAACACTTATAGGTTGTTTAGTATGGAGTTTTTTTTGTGTAATTGAATAAATGTGTTCACGTATTATTTGAACCCCATGGGCTGCCCAGTTGGTAATGGTCCTATTTGGGTTTGGTCTTATATAGACAAGGTCCTATTTGGACTTAGACCATCAATATCCAAAAAAACAGAGCTGTCCATTTGGATTTGGACAGCCCAATTAACATTCCTATTGTTAACCATGTAAAGCTTTATTGAAATTCCCCAATTCTTTCTTTTTAGTTTTTGTTGAACTCAACCAAAAACAGTGACAAAGTAGAGTTAATTTCGCAGCATATCCTTTGTGGATTTAAAGAAAAAACTCATGAGTATGTCAGCATGGGAAGAGCAGTGAATTTGAGTAGTTTACATTTATACTCAAACGTATGTTCAACATGTGTAAATAAAGTCCGATGTGTAAACCTAGATGTAGCAGGTTTTCAAGATTTCCTGGCCTATCTTCTATAAAATGGTATGTGTTAAAAAAAAAGTCCGAACTCCGTAGACTCTTGCTAAAACAAGGTCCAAATGTAACAAGTTCAAACTTTTAAAGTAGGGTTTTAATTAATTAAAATGATCACAAAGTATTGATTTGTGACAAAAAAAAGCTTCGAATTTTTTAAAAATATTAAATTTGTGAAGAAATATGTCTAGTGTCCGAATTCTTATAAGACTTTTGTTCAAAAAAATCCAACAAACACCTCTGAAAATTTAAATACCATATGAACAAAAAGAGTCAAACTTGGAATCGTCACTAAACTTTTAAATATAAGATATGCACTAAGATACAAGAGGAGAAGGTCTATAATTCAAATAGGTGACCGCAGAAGATAATAATTGTGTATGGGTGTTCTTATCTATATAATTTGGCTTCTTGGTAACTCAGTTTTTCTCTCTGCTTGGATATAAAATGAAGTGTCTCTACGAAGTACAAACCAAAAGAAAGAGAGCAAATTAAGAACTAAAAGAAAGAGACAGAGAAAGATGGGAAAGAAGTTTTCTTCACAATTACGTCAAATACTCGTTTTGGTTATGCTGCTTATCGTCTTCCCTTGCGTTAGCCAATCGGCTCCATTATCAGTTACCGGTTAGTCTTACAATACACATAACATATATAAGATTACAGATATACATAAATACTTACAAGATTGTTTTCAGCAATATTTTTATAATTGAAATATTAAGGTTTCGGTCATCAAACCGGGAAAACAGATCATACAAACAAAAATTCAGCTGCACGAATTCTATATCAATCGGCCAAACCTGCTCGTTTTAAAGTAAAAGCACGTGGAATTGAAGACGTGGGACAAGAGCGAACACACTCCATAAATATCAAAAAATCTGGAAGAAGCGTGGAGAAAACTCACCAATCAGAAGGTATATATATATGCATGCATGTAATTTTCTTTAATACGAAACCACAACAGTTTGACCAGACATATTTTTATATTTGATGAAAAACTAAACCTATTCTATTTCCAATGATCAAGATCATAATAACATAGTTCTTTCCAATAATAACACAACATTTAGTATTACAATTTGTCACTTTTCTTTTTGAATTTATTTTAGTATTACAACCACAACAGAAACTTTTTGAATTTTTTTTTCCTTTACAATCTGTCACTTTTCTTTTCGATTTTCTAACCGAATTACATACTTAACCTATAAATAGATTGTTTTTTTTAATGATTAAATGTAATTTATATATCTTTTTAAGTTTCTTTTCGTCTTCTTTTGTTTAAATGTAGGTAGGAGACTGAGCATTTATTTTCCAAAAGCGGGCATAAGGGCAGGACCTTCAAAAAGTGGTCAGGGTGGTGGTCGCATTCCCGTAGCCGCCCCCTAGTACTTCTAGTTCTACATGAATGTAAATTTTATTTTCTGCAGTCATACGTACGGCCTGGTAAGAAGTTTCAGTTATGCATAATTTTATGTTAGTGTAATGTTTCGGTGTTTTTAATAAAGGTTCTCTAAACATAATAAAGGTCAAAAAATTTCAAGTTAAGTCTAGGTAGTTGCATTTGCACTACAAGAAATGCAGCGTTTTCCTACGGCCAAAATCGTAGGATATTGGTAGAAAATAGACGTTTCCTACCAATTTCCTACGAAAAATATTTGAAGGGTATCGCCCGTAAGAAATATAATTTGGTAGGAAATTCGTTAGGAATTTCCTACGAAACGGGTTCGTAGGAATCACGTAGGAAATTTCGTAGGAAATTGGTAGGGCCTCTTTCACCATTTTCCTACCAAATTTTCATAGGAAATTGAGTCCTTCAACTTTCCTACGAAATATATCTTACCAATTACCTACCAAAATTATCTTACCAGTTTCCTACGATTCGCCTCCTACCAAATTCCTACCATTACCCTTTGAAATTTCAGACCCAATTTTAATAAAATATATATTTATTTATTTGTTGCAAATTTTGGTTTTTTGAAAAAATTAAATTTAAAATTCAAAAGAAACTTAAAATTAAATTTAAAATTAAACTCCATACAAATTAAAATTTATTGTACAAGTCATTCTAATATAAAGATCCAAATCCTAATCGATCTACTCTTGAGTCTCGTCGTCATCGTCATCTACGCTCGTGTTCGTCGTCTTCGCCAGATTTCGTCGTCTTATTCTGGACTGTCGGATAACCTGGTGGTTCAACTTCACAAAGAAAATCTCAGCTGCGACAAGCTGCGAAAACACAAAAAAACAAACTCATCTCTAGTAAAACACTCAAAACCCTTCAGAAAAAATAAATCTAGTGTCTGGCCCTTACTTTTTCCTCTAGATGGCTAGACAAAAGCTTCCAAACGATGCCTCTTGTTTGATCTCTTTGTTCACTTGAATCCGGAGGCAAACTATGAACACAAAATAAAGAAGACTGTTATACATTCTCAAAGTATAAGTATTTCTGTCATAAAAGATGGTAAACTTACTAGCAAGAACTGCAGTCCCGTTTTCGAAGTCAAGATCAACTAGACTGTGACCCTCTTACAGGATCAACTAGACTGTGACCCTCCTACACACATTATTAACATCAACTACCTGTGTACCAAAATACATTAGGAACACACTGCAAGAAATGATTTTTCAATTCTGAGAATTCTCCAAGTGAACTATCCAAGTAAAGTTTTAGAATTACAGAACAAGCCAACGCAATTAAAAACAGAGACTCCACGTACACGTACGTAACTTCCAAAGCAAGAAGTTCATATTCACGTAACTAGATCATAATTCCAAAGTCAAAAAGACAACTACTTCAATACATGAATAAATTCAAATTATCTATATATCCTTTATATCTATAAAGCTTGAAGCGAACAGATTGAAACCAATTTTTATATCCTTTACATTCTAGACCCAAACGATTGAGAGAGAGCTTAAGAAAACTCATATAGTAACAACTCCATCCCTTTTTCATCACCTTAAACCAAATTCTGCAATGTTTCTTTATATAAACCCATTAGTCCTTCTATCAATAAACAACATTCACAAACACACAAACCAACGACAACTTGAGAATCCAAAACCAAAGACTAAAATGGCCAAAACTCTTCACATAAACTTGAGAATCATGTTGAAGCTAACAAAGCAATCGCTTAAAAATCGGGAAACAAGAGATATAAGCTCACTAAGATCCGTTCATCATGTACGAATTAAGATCAAGCATGGATTCAAAAAAAAAAAAAGTAAGCCCAAAAAGAGGAGAGTTGAGGAAAGAGACCTCTAGAGCATCAGTCCAAGGAGGGCTCTTGTCCAAGCAGCATCTCACAGTGTAGATTGTCGCTGCAGCCCACAACGAAAGATAGAAAAGTGTAGTGTCAAGATGCACCATACCCAACTCAGATAGATAGTGAACCATGTTCTCCACCTACACAGCACAAAACCAAACACAAGTAAATGGAAAATTCCCTCACATTTTGGATGTTGTGGAAGCAAAAGTATCGTAACACAACCAATTAAACTAGTTCTCTAGGAAGTGCTAATCACCGAGAGTATTGACAAGACACATGAATGAAATCTATCAAGAGATCTATATAGAATAAAAACAGAGATCGTAAAAACCAACACGATCTTTACTAGTAACTGGATTGCAAAATATGATCTTTACTAGTAACTGATATAGCCTTGGATTAAAACTATAAATCTGCAACCTTTCTTATTCAATAGAGGAATAGAAGACGATCAATTATGAACTAACCCTAATCCAGAACAAAATCAGAAAACAGAGTAATCAAATCGTATTAAGGCTTGAAAATTGGCAAAATTGATAGGAGACAAAATTTGAAAAAATTTTAACCTTCAGGATCTAGGGTTTGAAAGAATGGATCGATCTCCTTAGGCAAAGCAGAGAACTCTTTTAAGATTTTGACTCTGATCGCAGCCACCCTCTTCCTCCAGTCCGCCGGAATTCTCTTCCGATCCACTAACCATTCTTCGAATCAAACAAAATTGAAATCAAATTAAGACAAGTAATCACCAAAGCAGATTCGAATTCAAACGAAGAACACAAAAAATCCAAATTTTAAAAATCCAAATCCAAACCCGAAGAGAAACCTAGACGCAAAAGGGGCAGTGGCGGCATCAGACCAAGCTTGATTCGATCGAATAATCAAATCTCTCTCTATGCCTCTCAATCTCAATTGAAGTAATCTTCTTCGTATCTACATCGGAGACTCGTCCGATTGGTTCCGATTAAACTCCAGATCGCGTCTTTGAAGTGAAACGCGTGAAAGAGATAGAGATAGAGGGGGAAGAGAGAGAAACAAGTGAGTACTTATTTGTTTATGTTTAATATTTCCTCGTAACTTTCCTTCCTATTTCCTACGCGATTTCCTACGAAAATCTGTTCGTAAGAAATTGAAAAGAAATATACTTTCGAATTTCTTACCAAATTTTTTCCTATGGCTTTCCTTCCATTTTCTTACCAAAATTCCTACGACATTTGTTTTCGTAAGATTTTCGTAGGAAATTTCCTACGAACTTCTTACGAATTTTGTCGTAAGAAATTTCATTCGAATTTCCTACGAAATATATATTTCATAACAAATGCGTAGGAATTTGGTAGGGAATTTGGTAGGAAAGACCTATGTTTTCTTGTAGTGAATTAGTAGAAATTATAGTTTTTCAACTAGTGTGTAGGACAAAAAAAAAAGAACTAGTTGATGGAATGGTATAACTAGAGAGCAGTCATGGATCAAACAAGAAAGACCGACTGATCTCACAGTAAAAAAAAATGGTCAAGCAAAATATATGGATCGATCCAACTCTAAATCGATCAGTTCTCGAATTAGTCAATATGGTTAAAAGAGTGATCATTCAATCCAACCTTTGGATCAACTGATCCCTTCAAAGACAACCAAATTTTATTTTTCATCACTAATTGTCAATAGCTCTACTGGTAAAGACTTTCAAGCAAAAGTTAGAGATCGGCTGTTCGAATAGCATTTGAGAGGAGACTATATAAAATGCTCTGGTCCGTGGCTTGAGGCAATGTACAAGCCTAGGCTCAGAATCTCTTAGTCATTTTTAAAAAAAATATATTTTTCTTCGAACGACATAAAGACTCTTATTTCTTCTACGTTTTATTCTATTTTTCTCTCAAATCTCAAGACCTAGTTTCTAGTTGTAATATTTGAAGAGATAAAATTTTTATTTTATGTTATCTCTAGGAAATAATTCTGAATCCTGTTTTATATTTACTTAGGGATTTATTCAATTTGATCTTCATCTAAGTTGTTTTCAGTTCTGAGATTTAGTTGATCACCTTTTTGATCTTAGGTAATTGAATGCGTCAAAAGTGTTGTTTAAATGTTTGAAAGAATTTTGGATGAACAATATAAATCATATAAAAATTAGTTACATTTTCTGTAATTTTTCTATTTTTTACATTTTTCAAAAATCATTATATAATATGTTATTTGATTTTTTTAAGTGGTAAATCTTATTGGACAGAAATAGAATAGTTGTTAAGAACATATATGCAAAGACTATATCGCAATTATTTAAGCAGGGATTTCGTCGTCGGCAGTTGACTTCATAGTTGATCATTGACATGAACTTAAAAGATAGGGCATTCTGAGCCACTGACACTGTCGTAACTAAAATCCAAAGACACTTGCCAAAAATAATCCGAAAAAATTAAAAATATCTGGAGGTAATAGAAATTTAGGTTTTACTATTACGGATGACCAACTTGCGAGATGTAAATTTTTTGGTAAGACACTTAACGGGAATCGATTCTTGACTTATATCCACATAGAGATTCTAACGGGAGCCACTAATTCATTTGGTGGATGATAATATGTGAATGTTGGATGTTGATATGTAATATGTGAATATATTTGTTGTCCACAAATTGGAACTCGTCGGTACTAGACTACCTATATACTCCCTCCGTTTCGTTTTAGTTGTCGTTTTAAGACTTAAATTTTGTTTCGTAATAGTTGTCGTTTTAGGTTTTCAATGCAAATGTTTGGTAAAAATTCAAGTATTATCCCTATTGTTTTAATGTTTTGACCAATGAAAAAATTTATAAAATATATTAATAAACGGTAAAACAGAAAATTTAATGTTTTTCTTAATTTGTGTGAGAAAACCTTAAACGACAACTAAAACGAAACGGAGGGAGTAATTAATTAAATGGTCCAAACAAAATTAAAAGTCAAATCTAATAAAACATTCAATGCCACTTGTTTTTCTTGTTTTATATAACTAAAATTCAAAGATTTCTGCCTAAAAAGTCCAACAAGTTTGAAACTTCAATGAATAAGATGGTTCAACGTAGACAACACTAATTTTTAATATTGCAAAATATTTATGCATATGTAAATGACTGTAAGTTTTTTTTTTTTTTGTGCAAATACTGTAAGTTCTTATGACAAATGACTGGTAAACACTACAAGAAAAATGAACATTGATAGCACATGACGATAGCTCATTTTCCATAACTGCTATTAAAAATAGTACCGAAAGTTAGGTTGATCTATCATAGCGTTTTAGAAACGCTAAGCATAGTGAAAAGCTAAAATCACTTGTGGCGGCCAATATTTACCCAAAATTTTAGACTTAGCGCCCACAAGTTAAAAGAAAAAAAAAAACTCCAGTCATAACCCTTAATTCGTAGGAAAAAAAAAAAAAAAAATTAACTCGTGGAAGTGTTAATTGGTCTCTTCTCTCTAAGAGCATCTCCAACCCACCTCTATATTTGCCTCTAAACTCTATTTTAGAGGCAAATTTGCTCCAACCCACCTCTATTCTCACCTCTAAAATAGAGATCTCTATTTTTTTCTCTATATATAGAGAGGTGAGAATAGAAAATCTCTATTTTTTCCTCTATAAATAGAGTTAAAGTTTTTATAGGAAAAAATAGAGAAAGAGTAAAAATAGAGAAAACTTACCTCTATTATAGAGATAGAGCTAAAAATAGGGAAATACATTGGATTGGAGATGGTCTAAGAAATTTCTCTCATATCTCATATCCACCTTGTCACTTATCTCGGCGATTTCTTCCGGCGGGACCAGCCACCTCCTCCGTCTGTGTACCTGACAAATCGAGATCAATTTCAAGAGATGCAGCTTGCATTTTCCGGTGATGGCTTCACTCGGATCGACTGCCTCCGGCCATTTCCCAGCTTGACGCCCGTGCTCTTTTCTCCTCTATTCCCATGTTGTTCTCGACCTATGCACCGTCTCCGGTGGTTTTGAAAGGGTATCTAGGGTTTATCTAATTTTAGTTGAATTTTGAGTTTATGATTTCGTCTCTAACGAAATTGATAACGTAGGCGGCTTGGAAAATTTGTAGAGGAAATCGCCATCTATGTAGGGTTCTTCCTTGCTTCGAGTCCCGATCTCCTCTCTCAATCTCAGGTAACGCCAAAATCCTCTTTTTAATTTATGGGATCTTTTCTACCACTTTCGATATCGCCGTTTTAGATTTGAGAATATATCATCGTCCCACGAACTAATCGCATATGTTGTTGTCTGACATTAATTTTCATTTCTATCTATTGTAGTCTTCAGCTTCCGAAGTGACTTTCAACAAGTAAGCTCGATGCCTTATATATTTTTCTTACCAAACCCCCAATCATGTTGTGTAGATGGATATTATTTTCTTTCTAGTTTTGATGGATATCCATCATTCACACGGGATTAGTTATCTAGCCATTGATGTCTCATCCTTGATTTATATGTTTTTTTGAATATTTCAGGGCAGATGATGAAGTTATTGGTAGGGCTATTGCTATTAAGATTTTTAGTAATAGTATTTTGCCTCTTTGTACTGGTGTTGTTACCATTGCTCTTGATTGATAAACTAAACACTCAATTCTTAATCTCTTAATGTGTTAATTGACCCATTAGCTTTGTTAAATTCTTCCAAAATCTCATCTTTAGACATGAGCTTTTTGTTGTTATGTGTCTCCTTGTGTCAATTATTTATATGTGTGTTTTGGTAAAAGTTTTGTCTTTTTGATTGCTGTTCTAATCGCAATTTGGCTAATCTAATCTATGGATTGTTTGAATTTTGTGTTGAGTTTGTTGCTCTTGCCTCCACCACTTCCGTTTCCTAGTTGTTTCCTTCTTTGTGGAACTATAACTTGTTGTATACCTCTATATATTCTCTATAAATCTCTTTGATTAAGTAATAAGAAACATTATTTATAAATTTGACCATTAGCTATGTTACTTTCATCTTCATGAGTTGTTTTCACTATGTGCATGTCTCCTTTAATTTGGTCATTGATTCATATGTGTGTTTTGGCCACAGTTCCGTCTATTCAATTGCGGTTTTCTTTGTCTAGGTATTTCAATATCAGGAAGCCAAAAGAAAAGAGCTTCCTTTTAGAGCAAGAGCTTCCTATATTTCATCTCTTTGTCTTTTAAACTCCTTATTGTATTTTGTGTTTTTCAGGAAGACGTCGACATCTGATGAACCTAAGCCAAAGAGACTTAGAAAGGCCAAGGATACGAAGACGAGCTCTTCTATCTTAAACATGCCCTAACAACCTCTTACGGCTTCTTTATCTTCATGTAATGTTCATCGTTTCACACTTACTTTTGTTGATAGTTGTTTACTCTTTAGGGATGTTGCTGATGTCGCCTTTCACTTTGCAGGAATGAATTCTGTCATTCTTTTAGACGAGAGCATCTAAGTTCTCTCATTAAGGATGTAAGACTTTAACTGTGCTCATTGCTATGCTTAACTCCTACGTTTAGTGTTTATGAGATTTTACCTAACTGTGTTATTTATATATGATTGTAGGTTTCAAAGATCGGTGGTGAAAAGTGGAATTCTATGACTGGGGAATTGAGTTGCTTTATTATCTTGTTTATTCTTTAGTTTCATGGTGATTTGTTTACTCTTTGTACTTTGAGATATTAGTACTCTTGTTGTGTATAAGAGTAGTAGTTGAATTTTTGTATAAGACTTGTTATATATGTTTTTAATAATTTATGTAATAAAAATAAATTATATAAATTCAATTAAATAAATCTTGCAAAATAGGGTTCAAATATACAATTATATATAAATTAAATTAAATTTGTATAGCGAAACAAATATGCTATAATACTACATAAAACAGCACTAAACGTGTGTTACAATAAAGTATATTAGAGCATTCGATTAGTGCTATAATAAATCGACATTTAATAACATATCGAAAAACGCTATCGTATATAGGGGGTCTACCATAACAGGGGCATAAAACAGCGTTTATGAAAACGCTATTAATGACGTATTATAGCTTTTTTCTCATGCTAACAATGTAGATATTTCTTGTAGTGAAAGAAACGTTCTAAACGATTAAATTAACCTATGTGAATTTTTGTTTAACTAGCACTAGTCACTAGATTGTTCGTAATGTCCGAACCAATTCTAGAATGAACAACATTCTTAAACACTAATAATTTGTAAAAAATTTAAATTGTGTATTTGAAACAAAAAAGTTTCTTTAATAGTAATTTAAAAATTTTACAGACCAACATTACTTATATAAGATAATATTTAATAAATATCATTAGTCATATATAATTTTCACCAAATTGTATTAAATAAACCCACGCGTAGCATGGATGCAACACCAAGTAACATATTAAAGATTAAAAAAAAACATCATACCCAATGACAAAACTTTAGTTAATGTTTAATTATCCATCTTTTCTAGAAGAAAAAACCAAACAAATTTCCGGACTACAATTACCATATGAATTTGAAGTGGTAAAAGTGCTACTAATAAATACTACATGCGTTTTTACTATAAAATTAAAGAAGTTTAAAAATACGAAGCTGAAATTTGATGCTAAAATATTCTTAATTAACTAGATTTTAACCCGCGGTGTACCGTGAGATGATTTATTTTTAAAAATTAGTATATATAAAATTTTGCAAATTTTATCTCCTTATATTTTATAGTCTATAATTTTTATTAAGTAACGGTATACTACGAGTCCACGGGAAAATTGTTAATAAACTGAGGATTTAACCCGTATTAAAGCGACATGTTAATGATATTTTAAAATTTTATAAATATTGATTCAAATCCGTCCACCATATAAACCCGTTCCGAAATATAACCCGTCCCATAATTTTTTAACCCGTCCCGTGATTTATTTTCTAAAGTAGTGATTTTAAAATTTAATAATTATTTATTATATATAAAAAATTTTATATTGTATCATTTTCTAAGACATTTTTATTTTAATAAACAAAGGATTTAATCTGTATTAAAGCGGCATGTTAATGATATTTTAAAATTTTATAAATATTGATTCAAACTTGTCCACCATATAACTTCATTCCGAAATATAACCCGTCCTGTAATTTCTTAATCCGTCCCGCGATTTGTTTTCTAAAAGTAGTAATTTTAAAAATTTAATAATTATTTATTATATATAAAAATTTGCAATTTGTATCATTCTCTAAAACATTTATATTTTATAGTTTACAATTGTTATTAAGTAACATTATACTACGGGACAATTTTTAATTTTATACAATCTATTCTAAATGAGACTGATTTGATATGTCTAATATTGGTGATATTAAAAAAAATTAAGGATTTAATCCGTATTGAAGCGGCGGATTAATGATATTTTAATTTATTTATTATTGTTGATTCAAAAACCTGTCTCGACAAACCCGTCTCGCAAAAGAACTTATTTGTTTTATTAATGTTTATCTTATTTATGATATGATTCTGAATGATTGTCTAAATATCTTAGTCGATGTGAAAATTTGAACACATATTTTTTGTAAATTGGATAATATATGTCCGATTTTAAATTTCGAAACACAGTATATGCAGAAAAAATATTGTTTGTTTTTTTTACTTTATGTATTATATGATGATTCAAAACGGTTAAAAACAAGGGAGACTCACAAAAATGCCCCTTTTTCAACACCCCTTTTCAAAAATGCCCCTTTTGGCAGTCAATTTTTAAAAATACCCATTTTTATGTACAAAATGATTAAATTACCCTTCTTTTAATAAAAGATATCACAAATATATAAGGAAAACATGAGAATGTGCACACATCAAAATTACAAATTTGATTTTGTAAAAACTTGTAAAACCTTTAAAATACCTTGTAAATTTTTCCCGTAAAAATTTTTCCCGCCAAAAAGTGATTCCGCAATTTTTCTGGCGTTAAATTTTTGGTGGAAAAATTTTTGGCGGGAAAAATTTACAAAGTATTTTAAAGGTTTTTTACAGGGTATTTATATGGTTTTACAATGTATTTTAAAATGTTTTACAACGTATTTATAAGGTATTTATAAGATATTATAAGATTTTACAAGCTATTTTATAAGGTTTTACAAGTTTTTTATAAAGTTTTACAAGTTATAAATACCTTATAAAACCTTATAAGTATCTTGTAAAACCTTTAAAAATACATTGTAAAACCTTACAAAACACTTGTAAATACTCTGTAAAACCTTTAAAATACCTTGTAAATTTTTCCCGCCAAATATTGAATATCCGGTGTATGAGTTGGGTTAAATATAACTCGACCCAACAAAATTTTTATGATAAAAATTTGTAAACGGATAGGATATTCATTGTATCCAAATGCATTTTGCTCCACCCACTAAAAATGTACTTCAAAAATACTAGTACATATATTTGAAGCCAGACCAAAATATTTGTTACTTTGATTAAAAAAACTTTTTAGCCACTAATATAGGATTTTCTTCTTTCCTTTTTTCCTGTACATATATATTATCATTCTTTGAGTCTTATGAAGCTTAGAACATCAAAACCTATTATGCTTTTGTGAATTTATACCATTTTAAAATAGAATATTTTATCAAGTGAGTTACCATTGTATTTTAGAAAAAAATTTATTTTTTGACTGCATGCACTCCTATTTTATTGACACACTTTATTTTCTTTTGCAGAATCGAGGAGGTTGAGGAGTACCTATAGGAATAGTAACATAAATTTTGGGGGATCAATCAGTGGAAAAGGCGGTGGTGGTAATGGTAGTGGTAGTCCCTAGTTTACGTTTCTCCATCATCGTTCCCGATTACTATTGAAGCTACTAGACTTCAACTATATGTATGAATCAACAGATATGAATTATAAAAATCTTATTCTACGCAATCCCAAGTCATGTTTTTTAGCCGAGACGTCTTTAGTTTAGTGATACCCTTGTGGAAATCATTTTGGGAACTCCTAGATTCAAATCTTCTCGATAGCAAAAATATTTAGAAATTTATTTTCTAGTCTAGTGGTGGTGGCCGAATGATATGATGACAATTTAGGTCTTATAACATTGCTTTTGTACTAGTTGGTTTGAGACTTGTTTGGATGATGCACTATCCCATTAGTATAGTTACACAGATCTACGCCTTTCATGAAGTTTATGATATTTATATATATATATAAGAATGTAAATACTAATTGTGATATATAAAATGAAGTTTGTAATAACTACTGATTCAATTATATATCTTTGACTGATTCTTTGATAAATTACCAAAGGTTTTTAAAATCATAAAGCATAAGCAAAGAACCAAGATGAAGAAAAGAAGAACACCTTAGAACTAATAAAATCTTAAAGTAAAGCGTATTCCTGCGGCTACAGAATAAGAGGGTATTGATAAGGATTGGGGCGCAGCCCTAAAAGAAGAGAATGGAAGTTTTGCGAAGGTCCAACCGATCGGTGGGCGGCGTCTTTCTTAAACGATCAGGCATCTTGATTATCTCTTCTTTGAACGCTTTTTGGTTCATTTATCTCTTAAAAAGTCCACTTATGTTCCGAATGTCCAGAATCCTAAAAACACTTATAAGACATTGAAAACGACGTGTTCTCGACTAAAAGACTCAATAAAATATGTAAAAAAAGACTATAAAATGTGTTAAGAATATCACTTAACAAATACTCCAGACTTGAATCTTCGCTTGTCCTCAAGCAAAAACAATTAAAAATTCAATCCCGAAAAGTATGATTTCGAAATACCGGGAACTCACCTTATTTTGAAGAATCTTTTCTGTGCACTTTTCATTGCATTGTTTTCTAGAACTTACTTTATGTACTAGTCCATGAAAAACTTCAACATCCATTACTCTAGAGAGCAGACATGGATCAAACACCCCTTACTTTAGAGAGCAGACATGGATCAAACAAAAAAAATGACTAATCTCACATCGAAAAAATGGTCAAGCAAAAAATATGGATCAATCCAACTCTAAAGCGATCAATTCTCGAATTAGTCAATATGGTTAAAGAGTGATCATTCAACCCAACCATTGGATCAACAGATCCCTTCAAAGACGACCTAAATTTTATTTTTCTTTACCAAGGGTCAATAGTTCAAGTGGTAAATACTTTCACGCAAAGCATAGAGATTGCCAATTTGAGTGGCATTTAAGAGTGGATCATATAAAATGTTTTAGTCTATAGCCTAAAACAATATACAGATATAAGCACAAAACTTCTTATTCATTTTTAAAAAAATGTTTTTTTCCGAACGTTATTAATACTCTTTATTTCTGCTTTTTTTTTACTTGTACGGACCTGTAATTGTAATTTTTGAAGAGAAGAATTTTTTATTGCACGTTACCTCTAGGAATAATTCTGAATCCTGTTTTATATTTACTAATATAAGTCCCTAGTATTTTTTTCTTGAATTGAATCATCATTTCCTCTATCATCTTGATTAAGTGAATAGTTTTGAGTAGTGCACTAACTTAAACATAGGGATTTCAAAAGAATTCATTGCTTGTTAGAATATTTATTTATTTTAATAAAGTTCTCGATAATGACTTACGGATTTATTCAAGTTGATCTTCATTTAGGTTGTTTTCAGTTATGAGATTTAGTTGATCATCTTTTTGATCTTAGGTAATTGAATGCATCAAAAGTGTTTGTTTAAATGTTTGAAAAAATTTTGGATGAACAAAACTTTCTCAAACGAAAATTGATGTATATATATATATATATATATAAATATTAAATTTTATT